CAACCTGGACCGTAACCTCTAGTTAGCCATGCCGGTGGTAACGGAATAGAAAATGTTATAATCGAGCGGTGGATTAGAAGATTTACTCAGTACTGTGTGACGTTTCGGCCTATGATCCATGTAGTACTAATGGACGCTTTGGCGGTCACGCCCTTCCTAGAGCCTACAAAGGTGAAATCTACATGCGAGCTTCTCAAACAAACACTTCCATAACCCAACCATATTAAACTTAGTAAGATTTTTATTCGCATAGAAAACAGTAAAACAGCCTGAGGTACGACGCGAGGCCTCGCTGGACAACACACTCTTCATTTGCAGTCTATTTTTGAATCTTTGGAGTTTATTCAGAACGCTTCGAGACTTTTGTACGCTAATGTTTTGGATTTCTGTGCGAAGAACACTTTCACTCCAAAATCTTCTTCGCTACGCCTTCGTTTCCGGTGTCCAGTGGACAGTTATGTTTATCTTAAAGTTTCCAACTAGGCGCGCTCTTAGACGTGCGAAGAGTGATCTACCCTTTCCGCCAACGTATTCGTCCCTACATTCCTTTAAAAAAAATCAGGTACCCCGAACCGGAACTTATGCAATCATGACTCTAGTTTTAGGACCACTTATACAATTCTGTGTAATTCATAGATGGTCATACAAGCAGTGACGAACCAGCTGACGTTTCAAAATGTTCGGTGGTTTCACAACCACTGCCACCTAATTCTCGAGACAGGCCCTTTTAAGGAACTGTATATAGCTGTGCTAACTACGTCAGAGGTAAAAAGTAGGTTAAACGGGACCATATTTTCGTGAGGCTTCCAGTTCCAAACATATTCCGAGGAGCTACGGTTTCGCAGCCATTGTAAATGGCTTCCTTCTGCGCCAGTGTTGAAGAATCTTCCTTCTGCTCTCTGCTTGTGTATACACTACGGCCATTTGAATCATATTTCTCACAAGAGCCCTTTCTGCGTGTGAAGGATCAGGAAGAGACGTGGTCGACCTATACGTTTTTGTTACTTCGCTTTCGGCATTATTCGATGAAGTAGCCGTTTTTGACCTGCTTACTGTAAACGTTCTAGAACGGAAGTCACTCCTTTTTCAGTTTCTCTGGGGTCAAATTTATATAGTGATTGTTGGTTCATCAGTTCGAAACATCTATCCATCCCGTCTTCTGTTGAGCCGATGACGGTATAATCATTTATATATATATATATATATATATATACAGTTGAGTAGTGGCCAGAGACAGAATACAAGGTGTTCAACTGTAGACAGAAGCACAACGGCAAGAATTGATGGCGGTCACTGTTCCTCTGTAAAATGTGTCGTTTGTGAATAATATTTCTGAACATGTAATATGGTCATCTAAATACTAAGCCGTTTAAGCACTCTTTTAGGAAGGCTTTGAGCTGCCGAATCGAGAAGCCATGCATGTTTATCGCTCCTTCTCGTTGTATAAGGGGTTCGAGATAGCTTGTTCACCACTCAATCGACATGTTTCTATAAAGTGCGGTAACACCGAACTTCATAACGTACGCGCTGTTGGGACACGCGTTACAAAGACGATCGCGGAACGTTCGGATAATCGTGAGGTGTAGTGGATTGTGTTTGAACAACTGAATGAGAACTGGGTTATTTCAAGCTATTCTATCCGTAGCCCCACCTACATAGCTGATAATGGGTCCACCCTTGAACGTTGAGAGGTCGCTAGAAGCAAGATCGTCCAAGCATTATAACTTATGAAATTTAATGAGTAAGTTGATGAATAGGACCGAACGCGATAGTAATTAAATTTTAAGCTAAGAAATAACTGGTGGTTTTAAACCTGTTGTGCTTACCACTTTGATCCAGTTCGTGTTCCAGTTTTTGGTACTGACTTTTGAATTCATTTCGTGATGACATGCGATAAAAAGAAGTATCTTCAAGATGTTTATTCGTTGTATCAACATATAACTGGCGAAGAATTACTTCAGACCTCTCATCCTTATCACTAACTGGTAGTCTAATAAAAAAGGATGAAGCTCTCGGTGTTGATCAATCCCTGGGGGATGCGCCATGAATTCGACTTCACTAAGCATCGTTGGAGGTGATTGAATGCATATCAGGCCTTTCCAATGACTCACGGTGGCCTACCGATGTATAGAGGCACTGCTGCTATCCTCCTAGACAAGTCTGGTGTCATTTCGCCAACCCCGAGGTGATGGAAGGCTTGGTGAGTCACGGGCGCCGTGATCGATCCCATGTGTATTGCAGGGCGCCTCCGACCACTGCGCTGTACGTACAATGGTCTAATAGCTTTCGATTTCATTAGTTCTCGAATCTCTCTCACATAACATCTTTGAGTTATTGCGAGTTGAAACTAGACTTTTCCTCGCAGTAGTGGTTACGGGCTTTGTCAGTAGGTATATCGACTGTTTTATCATCCACTCAACGCAGGAGAAGATAGACAAATGTCATGTTTTGAAATGAAAAATTGAGGAAACACTGGCTCCCATTTTCGAAGGTTCAAACTAACCTACAAAAACAACCACATTATTAAATAGCAATTAAGGCCAAGTAACAGAGACATACTGGTTCATTACCTTTCCTTTCATCCTTCTCATCCAAAGGAGAGTTCTCTCTGTTTGTAAGGAACATGTTCCGGATGGCCACCATTGTGGCAAAACAAAGGTGCGGAAAGAGGATTCCCTGGATGTGGCGTGAAAAGTAGCCGTTTCCAATGACTACTAAACTGCGCCTCCTCTGGGTGCGTAGTGAATTCGCTAGCAGTGATGGAAATATCACCGAACACTCTAAAACGTCAGCAAGCTTATAACCTCTTGTACGACCTCTACGCTCAAAACAAAATTGCATCCTAATGCTAGAGAAGGTGAGTGGATGAATTCGGATCCGATGTACCTAATCTCGTACAGCGTACAAGGATAAATACATTAGAGTAGACCGCTCTGCGTCCGCTTAAATAACATCTAGTCGGTAAATCTAAATTGGAACCAAACACTCCACTAGGCGCGCATAGGACACAGAAACACAACAGAGAAGTAATTCTTCGTATTTTTGTTAAGCAAACGCGATGTGTTATTATTCTTCATTCACGAATAAGCTGACGTTTCGGCGGATTTCGCCTTCCTCAGAGCCTGGAAAGGTCAAGTTGATAGCAATCTATTCCGCCAGACACCTCCATAACCAAACGAAAAAACGTAAACCAAGATTTCAATCACATTTAACACAGCTCTGCACACCCACCGCTTTCTATGAGGCTTTCACTGAGTATTGCTATCAAAAAAGGTAAGTGCCAGTAAAATTCTCCCTTCATTGCTACGACATGTCATAGATAAGCAGTCGACTTCGCTTCCTTAAGAGAAAGGAAAAGCTCAATATTTTTGCATGTTTTTATCATCACTGCCGTGATAAAGTAGCCATGAGTATAGCTACAGGCTCTGCAGCGGCATGAACTAGCTTTTTGGCTTCCGGATAGATATGTCCAATTCCTCACCTGGTACACCGTGCTGGGCAGGGGTATGTCCTACTATAAATCATTGTTTGACACTCAGGATCACCACTGTTGGAGGACAGTAAGAAAAGGTCTTTGGGTTTCAAATTCCTATTTATAAAAATCAACAGCCCAGTGATATGAAATGATAGTTTCTACGGAAAAGCATCGTTTATATTTGGATTCGTGGTGAAAGTCCGCATCATCTTTAGCATTTGTAACCTCTTAAGATAGCATAGGTTATTTCCACTTGAGAGTATTGTTGTACTTTTGTCTCGCATATCTAGTATTGCGGCAAAACTTTGTGACTAATATTTTCCGATACAAGGATTTTCCGCTCATGAGGAATCTCGAGTGGATAACTCGTGAAGCTTTGTGACGCGTCATCAAATGGTGTATGGCATAAAGTGTATAAACTGTAGACTACAGGCGCTAATGCACTTCTCCAAAGATGGATCGCCGGATCCATGAGAAGCAGATCATCTTCATGCTGCGCCGGAATGGCCGCAACCCTCCACATACAGGACAAGCGCATGAACATATCGATGTGCTTGCACAGAAACGCGAGTAAAGGTATGCGATTCCCGTTAGCGAATAGTCCCAACAACGAACAGAACCTTAGGAGCTATTCAAGATTGCTCCAGTTCCACGGCGTCAGACTACTGAGCTACCAAAAAGAAAGAAGCCGGACCCGGATGGTGTAGTGGTGAAGTGCGCCGCTCCCCGGTAAGGACAACAGCGCGTGTTCGCTCCCCACTGCATGCACCTGTAGTCCGGAGTTTTGCAAATATCTCAGCGTTTCATACGAGTTATATTTCGCAACATACCCTGCCATTAAGAAGAAAAAAGGCAGTAAATAAAAGGGTTAAGAAAAAAGCGCTCGGAACTCCTATTTCGCCCAGAATACTCCGACTTTCCATCTTTCATTGGCAAGAACTTTTCGGACCATAATGAAGAAAGTAAAACACCTTCCCTACCTATTCCCACTACGACGAACCATGAACAAGACTATAGAGAAATTATAACGCAATGTACACCTTACTTCAGAATGATGCTGTCACTCCGAATTTCAAGGGACATATTCTACGAATGCAATGAAAACCTTAGAATCTCTCATCCGAAATTTCAGAACATACATTCAGCAACGCATGTAGTACATGCATCCGTGGACTGCCACCTCGTTAAACAGAAACGACCCTATGCCCTTTGAAACGACAAGGATCACCCAATCGTACGAATTTATCCAATACTAAGATTCGATACAAAATAACGTTAAAATTCATAAGATGAATCCATTAATACAGCCATAACACTTCACATAACCAAAAAGAACATGAATACAAACAAAAAATGAGAGTCAAACAAGGGTCGGCCGGGGATCGAATGATGCTTGAGTGTTGAGTGCTGCAGCATGGATGGTCGACTGAGGAACAAAGTTGGTGGGTTCGGGACCACCGGACAAGACCCGCCCTGAAGGAGTGTGGGTGTGGGAGAAGAACGCGATTCGAAACAATTATTATCTTCAGTCACTCTCCTCGCCACCTTCAGCGTCATCTCCATCCTCTTCCTCGCCAGAATCTCCTTCGTCATCATCACCTTCACCTGTACACAAATAAGTTTGAAAAGAAGTCACATATTTATGCAGTAAAAATGAACACCTAAGTTATACTCACCTTCTGACCCTTCTCCTTCACCTTCAGACGATTCATCATGAACTTCCTCATCATCGACGTCTTCATCATCGTCTTCCTCTTCACCATCGACGGCTTCTATATCTGCAAATGAGTTCACTGTCTATACACGTCGCGGCAGAAATAACCTCTCCCCCGCACCAGTACTTTTACTGTTCCGCTATGCCATGTCACCAATTTTCATTGTCCCTTGCTCCGACCATCTCATGAACGTAGAGCCTCCCCCACTTTAACGAACTACTGGCGAACTGGGAAGATGGTCTATGTGGAGGTCGATCGTACATCGATTATGACCCACTCACTAGTGGCGGCATGGCTCAGCGGCTGTTATCGGCGCGCGTCCACTCGTCGACTCTGCGTGTCTGTCGCCGCCAGCGCGTCCCGTCGCCGCGGCTTCCGCGATGTACACACTGCCTCGTGCGCTCTCGCGTCAACGGTGTCGCGACACGACAGGTTGCCGTCGTGATGAACGTAGATGCTCGTGGGTCATCACGATGCGTCGCAGATGGCGACGAATCCGATGTAACTTCAACAAACACTCACCCTTGGTCGCCTTCTGCTTGATCACGTCCACCTCGTCCTGAAACGACAATCATCAAAATAGCAGGAAGAGCCAGGTGGTGGCATCAAAACGCAAGCCAACATCGGCACCAGTTAAAAATAACTCAGCAGAAACCCACTACACTATAGTTCCCTAAATGTGAGATGAATATCTTGGCTAGCGGCCAATGGCTCGGCGCCATAGTCGACCTGCGTCCCTCGCGCATAACCTCCCTTTCTGCGACTAACCTCTGTCTTTCCATTCTCTAGCCTGGGCTCCTTTACGGCGACCTCGTTGCTGTCATCCTTGTCGTTCAGTGGCCTTTTCTCAGCGGTTCTTTCTTCCACGGCGCTCATTTTGCGTACTGAACATGTGAAAATATGACGATATAGCTATCTGCATTGAACTAACAATCGACTCGAAGATAGACATAAACAATGTAGTGCAAACAAATCGCAAGGCCGGTGGTGGTGCACACGCAAACGCGCGAAATTCAAATATGCCAAAACGATCAAAGTACGAGGTCTTGTATGAATATGATGAGTACAACTAATTAGCAACGACAGGGTATAGATTAGATCGCAGCGTCTACGAGTTCAGATTGTGCCTAGTTTGAGGAAAAGTACTAAGACAATAAAAAGAAGCAGTCGGTGAGGCAGCCTCACCGACTGCTTATGGTGAACAGAGAAACCTTAATCAACAATTTATCTATCATATGGAAGCTTCAAGGGGCAGAACTAGGGAGGTTGGCGTGCTCCCCGTTTCGGCGCTTGTGGGCGGTCCACAGGATTACTCTGCGTCGCCAATAGGGCTCTCGTTGTCTGGCGCTCTGGCTGTGGACGGCGTGTGCTACATCAATGCAGCTCGCATTGTGAAAAAAGTGTATCTGGACCAAGGACGAGGTTAAGGGGAACTTGTTAGAGTGTTGGAACTAGGTGTGATCAGCAGTCAGTTAGTGTGATGAGTCCGCGTTGACGCAGTGCTGACGGAGGAAGCACGTCTTCATTGCGACAACTTGGACCGTAGCCAAAGGGCGGGGTCGTGGGATGGACACGGGGACAGAGGAGACGCACGTCATGGCTGAGGCGGCGGAACGTACGAGGGCTAATCCGGCAATCCGGGATCTCTGCGATGCTGTTCGTGGCTCCGTATCCCTCAAGAAGTACGAGTTCTGTCACTGCAAGTGTGGCAAGATGCGGTGAATCATCCAGAATTGTGTAATGTCAACAATTTTGTTAATACTAATATAAGAGCCATGGAAAACATGAGGCAAGATGCATCCTTATCTCTGGCGCTAATTATGATTACACTAATGTTTACAAATTCCTAATCATTGTAAAATGATCACAACGACAAATGTCTAGGAAACTTCGTTGAATGCGTCGCTTTCTTGTTCAGCAATCGCGAGGTTGTTAAGCAGCATACATTTGCTTCCATAGAGAAACACAATACAATATATCTTTCTACTTCTGTTCAGCAAACACGAGGTGCTATTTTAAATTTAATTTAATTCGCTATTTTTAATTTTAAATAGCACCTCGTGTTTGCTGAACAGAAGTAGAAAGATATATTCAATGCCGAGGTTAATAGAAAGTCGGACTTGGGAGTTACAATACAATACAACACTAGCTGACGTTTCGGCAGTATCGCCTTCTTCAGAGCCTGAAACATGTAGTTTCCATAGTTTTTCGTCTTTTTGTAAGTGTTATTGAAGCGTTTGGCCTAGTAGATTGTATATCAGCATACCCTTCCAGGCTCTGAAGAAGGCGATACTGCCGAAACGTCAGCTAGCGTTGTATTGTATTGTGTTTTTATGGAAGTAAATGTATGCTGTTTAAAAACCTCGTGATTGCTGAACAAGAAAACGACACATTCATATTCCAGTACTGCGGTTAATAGAAAGTCGATCCTGGAAACTTCGTTGAGTTTTCAGAAAAGACAGCACAGCCGGATGGAACAAAATGAGAGTCAAAAAAGAGAGGTGAGGAAGAAAGTATAAGGAACACTGAAATAGTTAGGAAAGAGATGACGCTGAAATGATATGAAGGGATGTGGATGGATCCGATGGCATATTGCCAAGTGTTTCATACGCCGGTTGCGTAATGACGCGGAAGCAGCGCAGACCAGCAGGTCAGCCCCGCCTGCACCCGCCAAATCCTCGGGAGATTCACGTGTCCCGTTCAGGAGTGATGCCGCAGGACGACGCCATCCAGCGGGCCGACTGAGGTAGCTCCTGGAGTGTCACCCGGTAGCAATATCACCGTGTTTTCGCTGATGTGTTGTTTAGTTAGGCAGCCAAATAAGCATTTCACCGCGTAACGCTATGTGCGCTGTAGAGCTATACAATGCTGAGATGTTGCAATTGATCTATGAGCAGTCCTAACCTCCTAATATTTATTTTAAAAAAAACCTTTTCTTAGTGAATCGTAGTGGAGAAACAGAAGCTCCTATCACATAATCATCTTTAAATTGCTGATTTATGCTAAATCGAGCTGACTGTGGACGAAGCCCTAGCAATATGTGAGCAAATTATGGAGTAATGTTGCCGTAGGAGTGGAATGTGCCCTCGTCTTCGACACCTACGTTATGCCGGAGGCAAAAGCTATCGATTGGACTCTGATTGAGGCCTGCGATTGAAACTCTCTCTTCATAACAAAACGAAGACTGTCGATGCACTCCGGTTGACACGGACCTCTTTTTTTAGAGCTAAGTTTGGACTAGAAAATGTCTGACTGCCCGGCGCAGTTTTCTTGCCTTTCCTTCCTTATTTGTTATTCATGGTTCGGAGTCTAGTTATAAAATCACAACTTCTTGAAGCAAGCTGCACATGTCTTTATAGATGCTTTAAAAAACGAAAAGAAAGTGTTCTGCGAAGCTCCACAAGCAGTTTGGATTTCCACCATACCAAACGGTAATCGGACCAGTTCATAACCGATTTTTCCGCGTTGGGCCAACAGTTCTAAAATGATCTCAACCATTTCGTAGTAAAAACATCGTTCTCACAAAGGTAGGATCTTTTTCTGGAATCTGTTCGGACAACCATTTTTCGAGCTTCCAAGTGGTTTTCAACGTTGCCATTAACTGTATTTCAAGACCCCCTTTAACCTCGGTATTACCAATCAACATGTATCCTTTCTTTGATGAGCTTACAGGAGGTTGACTATCAAACATCACCATCCGGGCTATCACAGCTATCAACGATCAGCATCCTGCATAAAATGGCATCACGGAGTGAGTATGCCTTATTCGAGGAAATGGCCCGCTGAGGAAGACCTGACGATACGATGACGAAGCCGCCACATCGAGACGAAGAACAAGCGTAGGCCATCGACTCGGATCGTCGGCTCTGATGAAGACGAAGACGTCGAAACGTTAACCGAAAATGGATATCCCTATCAACCTCGTGTAAACTCATCAAAGAAAGAAAACATGTTGCCATTAACTGTTGCCGCTTTCAAGAAATGAGAAAAAACACTGGCAGTGCAAAGTTTTGAAAGCAAATCGTGATGTTGTTCCCTTCAAATGAAAGATGAAGCGCCGTACAAAACTATTGTTTGCTTGCTTCATGAACCAGCACCACGATGACGTCATTCAGGAAACTCAGGAAGCGTCAGCAGACGATCTGCAGATCGTGGATTTTGCACTTGTAATACGTTCTTTGAGGAGAGAACTATGAAGTAGCGGCCTGGGTGACGAGGAAGGCAATTCCAGAAAAGGGTCTGAATGCCCCCGTCCCTCCCAGGACGTTGTCCTTTCTCTGCACCAAGAAAGTGCAATCTCCCGTCGGTCGCCGTCACCTGCGACAATCGAACGTCGCAATGTGCTGCTCGTCGTCTAGGTGTACTGCTTCATCCCAAGGCCATCTGAACGATTTGAAGCTACGACATCACTTGACAACTAAGCTTCAACTATCAACGTTCTGCAAAAAATCAGGAGAGAGAGAAGCAAAAAAGGGGTAAAAATCAAATTGATTCATCGAAAATCATTCAAAAATCCGCAAGTCCCGGATACACGGTGCAAACATGTGGCTTATTATATAGACGAAAATATCGTGACTCGATAAAATTACACTTTTTTAAGTTCGTGGATGCATGGGACGCCAGGTACTATTTGCCCCGAAGATCCCTAGACAGAAATGCGTTACGACGTTGCCGAGACCCTCATATCGACTTTCATCTAAGGGTTTAATACCGTGCTTTTCGTCATTTTCCTATTACAAGGAGGACTTTCATTCACTTGACTTCCTGCTGGTAGGTTTGCGCGAGGTTTACAGAAGCTATTAATTATAGAAGAAAATAGTTAAGGCGGCGTATTTTGAAACTCTTACTTTTCAAAACGTGGAAAGCCGTTGATGGACGTAAGCCGCGGGCTACCATACTCATCGGACCATCGAACTCCTCTTTGCATAGCCACTGATTGCGAATTGACGACTAGTTTCATGTCTTATAAATAGTCAAATTAAACCATATCTTAGAAAATTGATAACAACTTAGCGTCGGCTCCACAAGGGCAATCCGTAAGATTTATACAAATAGTGAGATTGGCTGCTAACATTAAAACTGCTCCTAGCTAGTAAGAAGCACCACCTTTACTAATTACGATCCTGAAATCAACATAGACCAAAGAGAGTTTCGGTATTTGGCTAAATAGTGCGAAAGTGATGACACAGACGACGGTGTCGCTCGTGGGGCATACGGGCAGAGATTCAAGGTCGCCACTTTGGTCGTGCACTCCTTAATTTTCTTTGTGAAGCAGCTCAGAGTTAGGAAAACAATCCGAAAGAATACAGGCATGTTGGAAACTTGTCATAGACAAATTTGAACCGCTAACAACTGAAGATCGGGAATGGAAGGTGGTATTGATTGATTACTACGCGGCGCCTAGTCGTTAGAGCGCTCTTACACAGAGGCCACGCCGCTAAGAACAGGGAAACATCAGCTTTTCATTTGTAAATAAGGTTCTATTTAATTTGTAAGAGCCACGTAATGCTTGGCTAAAAAGGAAGAAATTGATCTCTCGGTAGGACTTCTCTTCCAGCGCAATTCTGGCTCTCTTCTTCTTTTCAGCAATTTTTCAGCTTCTAGTCTACTATCATTATTTCTGTTAGGAAGCCCAGATGTACGGGGATTGCCGTCGCATAGAAGAAACCTAGCCGCAATTTTGCAAACTGCCCTTAGAATTAACACTGCGAACCTTTCAGACAGTTTCTTCCGCATCGTAACTCCTTCGTAGCTTGCTGGACCAGTAACGTATAAAAAAAAGTTCTGAGAGTTGATCAATTCCTGAGCACTCAACTTCACTAGGCATCATTGGAGATGAGTGAATGCATATGTGGCCTTTATTCACGATAGCCTATCGATGTATCGAGCCAGTGGTGTTAACCACTCAGACAAGTCTGGTGCCAATTTGCTGACATCGGAGGGATTAAAGGCTTGGTGAACCTAGGGAGCAATGATCGATCCAATTTGCATTGCAGGGCGCCTCCGATCACTGCGCTACGCTCGCCTTAGTAACGTGTAAGTGAAATCTGTGTACTGATGTCTGCACTATCATTTATGAAGACGGGTAATTCAATCACAAAGGAATACTCAGCATCTAATTTTACTAGCGAGAACTGAAAGTCGATCTAACCATGTTTCATATTTCGACCGAAATGTTTGCGTGGCGTAGTTGAACGAATGTCAATTGCGCGCTCGCGATAGCCTGTCAGATTGGCGTCCACGGACGAAACCCGTCTTCCGTCGAGGGTTTTCGTCGATCTATTGCAGATTTTTTGCAGTAAAACAGGGCTACGGGTTCTTCGCCTGCTGCTGCCTGGAGTGATTGCAAAGGTAAAGTTCACACTCATTGCTTTAGGAGATTTATTATATGTGTAACGACTCTACGTGATTGATAGAGCCCATGAATTGCACCCATGCACCCCCTGCGACGACGACCTTGCCGGAACAGAGTCGTTTAGTGTTTTTGCTCCCTCTTCGTTTATTTTAAAGGAATTACTCTGATAAATACGGTTCAAGATCGATAGTCAACAGCCATTCAACTGAAAAAGTGTTTCATTGATAATATCTGGTCTTTTCGACGTTAACTAGCACGAAACGATTAATGTATTTTGACATGCTATTATTCTCGAACCCAGACGTAAGCAATTTGTATAAAATGTAATCCAATTAGTTCACATAGTGAGGTGGGATAGTGGAGAGCTAGTAGTGCAGTGGTGGTAAAGCTGATCATCACGAGCGCAGTACTGGTTCAATCCCGCCTGGGCTCGCCAAATCTCTTGTCCTTCCGGGGTCCTTAAATTTATACTAAACTTCTTGGCGATGGTAATAGCCCTGATTTTATACTCCAATGGATCACCACAAGTCATTGTATAGGTAGGACCGGTCGTCCATTCAATCACCTCTAATGGTGCCTAATGATGTCGAATGCGTGACATCTTTTACTTTTTAAATATAATGATGTACGAGCTAAGAGTAGTACAACGCACGATGATGTGCCCCGCAATGCATATAGTCTTTGGTTCAACTCGTGTCGTCGTCTTCTTACTGCAATGTTTATTTCATTGCAATTTTCGTTCCTTTGAGTTGTCTCAATGCTTCGTCGTATCGCTCTCGTTGTCTCGACGGTAATGTGGTTTTGTAAAGGACTATAGCTGCTATGGGCGTGCATTTTTTAAATCCTTTTATAACTGCGCTATGGTCATCAACAGTTTGTGCTCGTTGAGTAGGGCCACCGCGATTTTCCAAAACATTCATGACCATTACGTTGCTGAGATATTTGCAAAACTCCGGACCGCAGGTGTCTGCGGTGTAGTAGGCAGAAAATAAAAAAGTAAAACATTGTGATTTCAACTGCAGCGTCAGCTTAACCGGGTCCAATGCCGATGTGGGCTCCCCAGATTAATCCCGTTGACGGGTGATTGCTGATGGCAAAAGATTGATAGAACTAGCCGAGAGACAGGCGAAACAAAGGACCCGCGTGGTGTGGTGGTGAAAGTACTACTCTCCGGAAAGGACAATAGCGCTTTCGTTCCCCATCGCATACAACTGCGATCCGGCGTTTTGCAAATATCTCAGCATCGTTGAAGTTCTATTGAGCTGTTTAGTCACTCTTTTAGGAAAGCCTTGAGCACAGATCGAGAAACCATAGATGTTTATCGTTCCTTCACGTTGTATAAGGATTTCTAGACGGCTTGTATACTGCCCATTGGACACATTTGTATAAA